ACGTATGTGGGAGCAAATCGCATTTTCAGGCACGATGCCCAAAGCGCTCAGCCCAGGTCAAGGCATAAAAAAGGATTTAGAACTCAAGGTATTCATAATAAGGGTAGTCAACAAACCTTTGATATAGAAAAGCAAATTTCATTATGCAGCAAACATCTGTAACAAACAAAAAAAAAAAAAAAATTCGAATAGTATCAGATTTGTTCTGGATTCGGGTGCGAGTAATCATTTTGTGAAACAGGAATTAGAACCCCTTATGTGTAATGTTTTATCATTGGATCACGAAGTGACAACGGTATTTATATAGCTAATGGAGAAGTTTTAAAGGCAACTAAAAGTGGTAAACTGCAGACAACGTGTCAGAGATACGCTATAACCATTGAGGCACTCATAGTTCCTGATATTAAGCATAATTTGCTGTCACTCTCAAAGATGACCTCAAAAGGACATCGGATCGTGGTGGAGAAGAAATATACAACGATTTGTGGAAAGAATTTTGTGTTGGATGTAACAGAACAAATTGGCTCTATACTTTGGAACTGAACAATAGGATTAAAGAAGAGTGCCATGTTGCAGCTGAAGACGATTTGTGGCATCGACGTCTTGGTTGCCTACGAAAAGACGCACTGCGACATCTTGGACTCAAGGTTTCGAATCGAACGTGCTCAACGTATGTAGAAGGAAAGGCTTCTAGAGTCCCATTTTACGGTAATGAAAGACGTTCTGTCGCCCTAGTGAACTTGTGCATAGTGATGTGTGGACCAATCACACCATCTACAATTAGTGGTGAAAAGTATTTCCAGTTAATCTTAGATGATTTCTCACATTTTATTATTAAATTGTTAAAGACAAGAGTGAAGCAGAAGATAACTTGATAGCAGGGCTGCGGAGTCTGTAAAAAAAAACACTGGACTCCGACTCCTGATAATTTTAGTAGGCCGACTCCGGCAAAATTAAACACCAAGTCATTTTATGGGGGGCAGAGGCGTTCATAAGGAGGTACTACCTTACTCTGAACTCTGAAAGGAACCTGGGGCGTCTACCCAAATACTTTTATAATTAGTACTAGCTGCAAGGACCCGCTTCGCTGGGTTTTTATTTGTGGGCAAAAAGTAACGATAGTGAAGATTAAGATAATTACATTATAGCCAATCTTACCCGAACTATTTTCAACGTTTCTGGAACGTTTACAATCGTTCTATAATCGAACCAATATTCGAATTTTATGTTCGAATTCAAATTCAAACATTGTTCGACTTGAATTCGAACAAATTCGAACAAAACATTCGAAATAGAAAACCACTTTCAGCCCCATATCTCCCGCACCCTTATAGCTATCGAGACGCAACCCCCGTAGTGCACGAATGGAGACTTGGGGCTACCACAACATACAAACACCATTCATGTGCGGTGTGTAGTTTTTGCGGAAAAGTGAAATATAGGGACACACACGTCCATTTTTATATATATACTAGCTGCAAGGATCCGCTTCGCTGGGTTTTTATTTGTGGGCAAAAAGTAACGATAGCGAAGATTAAGATTATTACATTATAGCCAATCTTACCCGTTTTCACAGAATGCAAGAATTAGGTCCCCCGTTTTCACAGAATGCAAGAATTAGGTCCCCCGTTTTCACAGAATGCAAGAATTAGGTCCCCCGTTTCCAGACTAATTAGATAATTTTTACATGAGTCTAAAAATATGCTCGATTTCCCGCAAAAACGCAAAAAACTGCCTGCAAATCTTGCATGCCGCTCTATATTAACTCTTCCTTTGTTACTCAACACTTCCATTGTTAGCACTTCCACTGTTAACACTTCCATTGTTACACATCTTCAAAGTCAACCACTTTCAACCCATATCTCCCACACCCTTATAGCACAGAATGCAAGAATTAGGTCCCCCGTTTCCAGACTAATTAGAGAATTTTTACGTCCAGTTAAACGAACTATTTTATATTGATATCTATCTATCTTCTCAGCAATATTAGCTATTTATATTAATAAATAAACACACCTGATTTGTATTTGCCGAACTATTTTCAATTTGATCAATTTTCTGGAACGTTTACAATCGTTCTATAATCGAACCAATTCGAATTCGAAAATTTTGAAAATCGAAATAGAAAGACTGTTTTTGTAAGTAATCTAGAATCTAGCTGCAATGACCCGCTTCGCTGGGCAAAAAGTAACGATAGTGAAAATTAAGATAATTACATTATAGCTAATCTTACCCGTTTTCACAGAATGCAAGAATTAGGTCCCCCGTTTCCAGACTAATTAGAGAATTTTTACGTTTAGTCAAACGAACTATTTTATATTGATATCGAACGTTTACAATCGTTCTATAATCGAACCAAT